AGTAGATTTCAGTAGCACCAACTTGTGGTTCTCCCATGTCATCAAATATCCTTTTGAGCCATATAGCTTGGCTCGTTGTTATTGCTGCTGCAATATATTCTGCTTCAGCTGATGATTGGGCAACTGTTGCTTGCTTCTTTGAAGCCCAAGAAAATATCCCTGATCCAATTGTGAAAGCATAACCAGATGTACTTTTCATGTCATCTACCGAACCTGCCCAGTCATTCTCTATGTAGCCAATGAGCTTAGAGTCATGTGTGACTCTGTACCAAATTTCATAGCTCTTTGTACATTGCAAATACCTTACTATTCTTTTAGCTGCTCCATGGTGGACTTGATTTGTATTCTGCATGAATCTTGATAGTAGGCTAACTGCATACATGATGTCTGGTCTTGTAGCAGTTAAATAGAGGAGACTTCCAATCATACTCTGAAATTGTGATTCATTTGCCTTTGGTGAGCCATATTCCTTTTCGAATGCTTTAGTGTTGTCTAATGGGGTGGAGACTGTTTTGCATCCCTCCATTTTGAATTTCTTTGAAAGAGTTTCTGTATACTTCTTTTGTGAAATGAAGGTCCCTTCTTCTTCTTATGTTATTTCAATTCCAAAAAAGTAGTGCATTAGGCCCAAATCGGTCATTTCAAAAGTCTTCATCATGTCTTCTTTAAACTTCTTGACCATCTTGTCATTATTTCCTATATAAATGAGATCATCGACATATAGAGTGTTGGCTCACTATAGCTCCTCCTGAATCCTTGATCCAAGAAGTAATTGTCGATTCTGTTGTACCAAGCTCGTGGAGCTTGTTTTAAGCCATATAATGCCTTCTTTAATCTGAGAACTTTGTCTTCTTGTCCTTGCACCACGAACCCTTGAAGCTGCTCCACATAGATTTCCTCCTTAAGATAGCCATTGAGGAATGCAGATTTCACATCTACTTGAAAAGTTTTCCATTTCTTCTGTGCAGCTAGTGCTATCAATACCCTGATTGTGTCAAGGCGAGCAACTGGAGCAAATGTCTCATTGTAGTCGATACCATATTGTTGTGAGTATCTTTTGGCAACTAGCCTTGCTTTAAGCTTCTGGATTGAGATATCTGAGTTAAGCTTTGTCTTGTAGACCCATTTAACTCCAATAGTGTCTTTGTCTTGTGGACGATCCACAAGCTCCCAATTCTCATTTTTTTTTTATCATTTTTATCTCTTCATTCATAGCTTTTCTCGATTTTTCTTCCTTAAAAGCTTCTTCAAAACTTTATGGTTCCATGATCATCAAATTGCATGTTTCATATATTTCTGTTAAGGATTTAGTTTGCCTTGGTGGTGAGTCCGGAGTAGACTGTGAAGCTTGTTCCGGTTCCGATTGTGTTGGCGAACTGATTTGATCATGATCTTCTTCAATTCCTTGACTTGGTAATAAAGGCAAGTTGATAGTCTTCCTTTCAACTTCTTTTGTCTCCCAATTGTATGCAGCATCCTTGTCGAAGCTTATGTCTCGACTGATTATGATTTTTTCTTTTCTTAAGCTATAGACTCGATAGCCTTTTGATTGAGTGCTAYARCCTAAGAAGATTCCTTTCTCAGTCTTCTYATCYAGTTTGCCTCTTTTCTCTTGTGGGACGTGTGTGTAGCATATGCACCCAAAAACTCTAAGATGCTTTGCTGATGGCTTTTGCCCACTCCAAGCTTCAATTGGTGTCCTATCTTGCACAGCTTTAGTAGGACACTTATTGAGCAGATAGACAGCTACGCTTACTGGCTCTGCCCAAAAAACTTTGGGAAGACCCTTTTCCATGAGCCTGGCTCTTGTTATCTCCATAACTGTTATGTTTTTTCTTTCGGATACTTCATTTTGTTCTGGAGAGTATCCGACTGTGAGTTGATGCTCCATGCCTTCATCTTCACAGAACTTGTTGAATTCATTAGAAGTATATTCTTTTCCTCTATCACTTCTTATGGTCTTGATGTTGTGACCACTTTGCTTCTCGACACGGGCATTGAATTTTTTTAAAATATCAAAAGCCTACGATTTTTCTCGCAAGAAATAAACCCATGTCATTTTAGTATAATCATCAATGAAGAGAATGAAATACCTGTTTTGATTATTTGATGGAGTATGCATTGGACTAAAAGCATCTGTATGAATTAACTCTAGTGGCCCTTTGGCTCTCCAAGCCTTGCTGGATGGGAAGGGTTGTCGATGTTGTTTTCCGAGCATACACCCTTCACAAACATTGTTGAACTCCTTGACAGCTGGTAGGTCATGCATCATGTTCTTCTGCTGAAGAATCTTTAATCCATGGAAATTAAAGTGTCCGAATCTTCTATGCCATAGCCACGACTCGTCCACATGTGCTTGCATTGCTATATAACTTGCAACTCTCCCTTGAAGGGTTGTCGATGTTGCAATGTCAAGGGACTTGTCTTGCTTGTCATAGATTGTGCAAGAGTTTCCCTCAAAATGTAAGGAGTAACATTTTTTCAATCATTTGGCCCACACTGAGTAGATTTTGATCAATGTTGGGAACCAAAAGTACATCATTTATGTATTTCTTGCCTTGTTTGGTGCCAACAACAATGGTTCCTTTGCCGGTTGCTTCCATGAAGTCGCCATTACCAATTTTGACTTTTGTCTTGATTTTATCAAGACTATGAAAGATGCTTTCATTTTCAGTCATGTGGTTACTGCATCCACTGTCAAGATACCAATTATCCTTTTTTTTCTTCTATTGCAGAATGACAAGCATAAAAGAGATTATTTTCCTCATTTTTCTTTTCTGAAAAATTAGCTTGATGGGTTTTCTTCAATCTACAAGCTTTTTCAACATGGCCAAATTTTTTACAATTTTGGCACTGTGGTTTTCCATTAAACCAGAAATCTTTCTCCAAGTGGTTTTTCTTCTTACAAATGCCACATGAAGAATACTTGTCATTATTTTCTTTCGGTTTTCCTTGTGACTTTTTCCCATCAACTTTTGGTTTATGAGACCGCAGATTAACTTTAGACTGAAAGGCAGCCTCAATCGAATTTTCATTCTGCCTATCACGCCTATTTTCGTGTCTTGAGAGAGCCCATTAATTCAGTTGGTGATAGTGTTTCTAGATCCTTTGTTTCTTCTATCACCAAAATTATTGCATCATATCTCTTTGTACAAGAGATTAGAATTTTTTCGACTATGTTCTTGTTAGAAATAATCTACCCATAGGCTCTCATTTGATTTACTATTTCTTTTATTCTAGAATAGTAATCTTTTGTAGCCTCATTATCCTTCATCTTAAGATTTTCAAAATCCCTTCTAAACTTCTACAATTTAACAGTGCGTACCTTGACAGTTCCTTGAAACTCCTCCTGTAGTGTGTTCCACGTTTCTTTTGCAGTTGATGTGCCCATGATTCGAGGAAATATCTCCTCAGCCATTGCTTGCTGCAAGCAAAATAGTGCTTGACAATCCTTTTGTTGATTTTCTTCATAGATCTTCTTTTGATTTGCTAAAAGAGTGGAAGTATCTTCAGCAATGCAGAACCCTTCCTCAGTAATTTTCCATAGACTTTGTGACCGAAAATAGGTCTTCATTTTGATGGAGCAGAAGTCATAGTTTTCTCCATTGAGAAGAGAAAGAGTAGAGCGATTGGCGTCAGCACACATAATGTTTAGAAGAAATCACGTCCAGAAAATAGATCGGACAAAGCTCTGATACCACTGATAGTAACAGAAAATAGTAAAAATATATGATAGAAGGGAGAGAAAGAAACTTAGTAGTTTGAGAGAAAGAGTTAGTAGATGTATTTTGTCATTTCTCTTAGATGTATCGAAGCAGTACAGAAGGGAAATATTTATAATAGATGGAGTCGGTTGAAGGTGAAGCGACTTACATTGGACTTAGACTGACATTAACTTACCTTGGGAGAAGAATCAACTAACTTTGGAACTAACTAATTTTGGAAGATGCAACGACTCACATTGGAATGAAACAAACATTGGAAGAGAGCTTAACTTTACTGTTCTTCGAGAGAACTGATTCAACGACTTTTGAAAATGTGTAGCAACATTTAATAGAAAATCGTCCAAGAGAAAAGCCAAGTGAAGAACCATGAAGTCCTCTTCCAGGCTTGTTACTTCCTCTGTTTTCACCGGTTGCAACTGTCGTGTCACGTTTGACACTGTCTGGACCAAGTCTAATTCCACCCCATACTATTCATCTTCTCCTCTTGAGAGCTCCACCAAGCCTGACTTCCACTCCTCGCCTCATGTCAACTGGGCTCTGCTGACTAACTACTACTTATTTTTTTTTTTATTCTTACTCCATCTCCCCACCACCATCTCAACTACGTATGGAGGGGGTTGTCTATCTCTATTTCTCGTTACTGTAATTTGTTTTCTGCGATCTGAATAATGCATATATAATAGCAATTTTATTTTCAATCTCAATATTTCTTCTATTCACCACTGTTTATGATTTTAATCTCTCTCCCCCTCCCTCTCCCTCTCGTTTTTTCATTTTCTCCCCATCCGTCAACTGTGTACAGAGAGCTTGGGCTCTGTTTCATCTTCTCGAGGAAAACGACCATGAATAATGTGTTTTATTTTCAAGAATAATTTTGATATTTTCAAAAGTCTTAAATCGCACATGAAGTTACATGATATACATAACTGACGATCCATTAACGACAGATACTAGATTGTCGCATTTCTAAAGTTTGGGTATTAGATTGTCACATTTTAAAGTTTGAGGACCAAATTGTCACTCGAACCAAAGCACTGATCGAGAATTTTCCCTTATATATATCCTAGGTATCTTTCATCCATGAGTTTCTACATAGAAGATCCCAATCTTGCTTTATATGCAATACAAGAAAAACGACTACACTAATTAAACCTTTTCAACAGCCATGATCAACATGAATATCCCATTCATTTCCCTCCTTATTAATTACTACTACTTGAATCTCTAGCTCGCGAGCCATGCATTCCAAGTATCGTCCGTTGATGATCCATTCGTTCAATTTTCCATGAATCTGGAAGCATTTTGGAAGGATCTCAATTTGAAAAACCGAGCAACATCCCTCACAGACCTCCCCATGGCGCCGTACTCCGCCAGCCCCCTAACGACCAAACCACACCGGAGGAACTGAGGAAAGAACAACCAGAAGCTGGTAATCATCAAGAACGCAATGGAAAGCATCCCGGAAACCGCCCCGTGCAACTTCCATCTCCCGGCCAACGCCCTCTTCGCTATGATCTCCATTACCAGACACACTCCGTGGAGGATAAAGAAGCAGGTCACCTCCCATGTCGGCTCCAAACGTCCGAGGTAGAAGAAGATGAGCTCGTGTATCAGGCCTGACACAACGAACGTCGACAATATGGCCGGCAATGGAGCCCACTTCCTCCCTACTATACGCCGGGCAAAGCTCTTCGTCGGCTCGTATACGGTTGGGCGCAGGATACTCGTCACCATGATGTTCCATCTTCGTCCCCAGAAGTCCTGGAGAGAGGTCGAGAGGTAGGGCTCGTCGAATTGTGCCTCGAGCTCTAGATTGAGCAACGGCTGGACCAAGTAAGCAACCACGGCGAGAAGGATTTCCAGGGAGATGTATACGTGGATGCAGTACAGAGATAAGATGATTTTTGGGTGGAGATAAGGTCTGTAGTCGTAGAGACGGACAACCAGAGCTGCAAGTAGACCCTTAATGGCGTAGTTTAGTGGTGATTTGGTGCCTTTTCTGGTTATTTGGTGAGATGGGTTATCTAAATCTCTTTCTGTAGAGGCATTTGGAACTGGTTGCTGGGTTTTTCGGGGAGGTGGGTCTTGTTTAATTTTGATAGGCAGACAAGCTAGGAAGATGAAATGAATGAGCGGGATTGATGGGTTGGACGACAGAGGGCCCTGACCAAAAGAGAAAAGGAGGAGCTTGAAATTAGCTAGCCAAGCCACGAAGAAAGCAGTAGTACCTACAAGATGAACGGATTGGAGATTTAGTGGGAGAAGAAGAAAGAGGCAGCAGATGGGGAGGATTGGGAGCAGTCTGAACTTGCCTTTCGGAATTCTTGAAACTACATAATAGCAGAAACTTAAGGATGCGATAACCAAGAACCAAACCTTGATGAAGCTCTTAATCTCCCCTTCCATGCTCTCTCGCTTGCTCTTTCTGATACTTTTTCTTCTTGTATATAAATATATCGATCTCGATGGTTGTGAATTCTTATTTTGGTTTCTGTTACTACTACTTTTTAATTTCTTCTCATTTTTTTGTTTAGTTTTGAACGGTAAGAAGGGCCCAAGAAGTCAAACTTTTCTCTTTCCCTAAGAAAGAGTATATGGTGTATTGCCAATATCGGCCCTAGAGTACGTCTGCTGTGGATTGTGAAGCAAATGTAATAAATTTTGAGAAAAACCCAACAGGATTCGTCCATATGTCCCGTTTTTGTGTGAATTCTTCCGCAGACGGTGCACTGACTGTTGTGTCACCTTCAGCCACATACCAGAAAGGAGACTTCACGAACAAGGCAACTCTCGGAAGGAACTAAGTGTGTAAGCTCCCCGCTCCGTTACCTGTGTAGGACGGACTTCTTATTCTCGCAAAGGTCGACAAGGAGTTCTCTATCGTGCGGGCACTGTCGTGGTCATGCGTAAATAAAAGGGGTGTTATTAGAATGAATGAAAAATTGGTGAGTGTCATTATCAGAAAAAAAAAAAAATAGATGAGTGTGGATTGGTTCAATACTATTAAGGACCAATCGTGCGGGTACTATCTAGCCTACAACCATAGTATGTTCTATAGGTCTGGTGTGTCAACCAATACTTTTGATTTCATGCATCTCATATAGAATTTAAGAAATAATTTATACAATCAATCATAAATGTCTAATTTTTATAATTTTATGATAAATAAATTAAAAAAATCGATAATTGAATATTAATCAATAAGTATTAATTTTAACAAAAATGGTAATAAAATAATTTTACCGAATAAACTTTAGTGCCTTTGGTGTTAGGTTGCATGCCAGACACCGAGATTTAAATCAAGCCGAGCTTTTGACGAGCTATTCGAGCTTAGCTCAGCTTGATTTAAATTGAGATTCGAGCAAAGCTTGAGCATGATATATAGGCTCGTTTCCTAATTGAGCCGAGCTCGAGCCCAATGAAACTCTGCTTGTGAGAAACCTAGATAATATTTTTATATATAATATTTTTATCTTTTATGTAAAATAGTAAATAATTTTTATAATTCTTATGTTTTGTATGTAAAATAAAAATATTTTTATATGTATATATTTTTTATATTTTATATGTCATAATAAATAATTTTTGTAATTCTTAATTTTTTGAATGTAAATTCAAAAAAAATTTTTTTATATGTATATTTTTTATTTTTAGAAAAAAACTTGGTTTGTAGTCAAGCTCAACCTGAGCCAAGCTCGAACTTGCAAGCTTTGAAGTTTAAACCGAGCCGAGCCGAGCCGAGCTCGAGCTCAAGTCTCTAGCTCGAATCGAGCTTGAGCTCGAGCTCGAGCCTAACACAATTTCAACGAGCCAAGCTCAAATAGCCCTGTATTTGGCTCGAATACTTGGCCATCCCGTCCATGGAAAAACAAACACCGTGGCCATCCCGTGACATGGACCAAAGCATGCCATCCATGAGATTACCATGGTAGCAAACACCACCAAATAACTAATGGTTTGTTTTGAAAATGATTATTTTAGGCAAAACGACTGATACCTCCCCAAAAGTTTCTGACTAGTGTTGAAACCCCCTTGAAGTTCGGTAATTGTCACCACCTCCCATAAACTTTATAACACAGTTGCAAGTAGACCCCCTTTGTTAGAATCCTATAACAAGAGTGTTGAAAATGTCCAAAATACACATGCCATTACTATTGAGGTTGCTTTCTAGAGAAAAAAAAACCAATGTTTTAAAATTGGCCTGGAATCGGAACCGCTTTGGCCACTAATTTTCAGGTCAGTGATTCAACTGTCTAGATCGAATGGACGACCCATTCCAATTTAAAATAATTAAATAAAATGACTAAAAACCGTTGTTCAGGACAAATGGGTCAATAGATTGATCACCCAAGTCATTAGGTCACTGACCAAGTCAACAGTTTTTGGGCCAAGAATGGGTTAAGGGTGAAATGGAACTGGTTGCCTAGATGGTTCCCTGGACCGAACAGTCCAACCATCCAAGTCGATGGTTCGAAAACAATAGAAAAGACAATTAATACAAACTTTATGAACAGCAAAAAAAGAGATTTTAAAGTGGCAATTTTATTTAAGAAGGGCAAATTTGAAAAATAAATCCATTTCAGAAAAGAGATTGGAAAGTTTGAGGGTAACAATTCGTATGAAGATAAAGTTTTAAAGATAATCATTTTGGTCAAATGTAACTGCATTGGAATTACGTTTTCATGCCTCTTTTTAGAGAATTCTAACAAAGACGATCTACTTGAAACTATGTCAAAAAGTTGAGGAAAAATGATTACAATTGCCAAACTTCAAGGAGTTTTCAGCAACAAATAGAAACTCTTGGGGAGGTTTCATCAATTTACCGTTATTTATTATTATTTTTACCCCTAACAAAAGAGAAAGCTAAAGAAGATGAATGCAATATGTCATATGTGTTACATGATTACTCCCTCAAAACTAAGACGGTGTTTTGGTAGTGTAAGCGTTGATTGCCATGATTTACCAAAAACAAAAAATGCCCACACTAAAAACGCCCACACAACAGGTATTAATGCATTTCCCATGTTTGGTAGTGTTTGTGCCATACCCATATTGGCATTGAAAGAGTCGTTTCCTTCACCGTCTCAGAAGATTGGGACACTTGTCCTATATCAATAAGGACCAAGATTCAAATCCAATAATCCATTTTGGATGTAGATCAAACCCCATGGTTTAGATTTTGGTCAAGAACTGATAGCTAGAATACAAAGAAAACAAAAACGTGTTAAAGCTTAACGTTATTATATTTGGAAATGAGTGACAAGGGAGAATAAGGAAGAAACCCCACCACATTCAAGCTCTCGGTCTAAAGAAACTGCCATCCTGTAAGGAAGACCCTGACATCAATGGAGAAGCTTGGCGTTTGATGCTTTAATTAAGAGTAAAGATTTGAATTCACGGATAGGCCTGCTGCCTGCTCGATTTTCAAGTAGAATGGCAAATGATGCAGTAGTGATTGCAGTTGATGCAAGCAAAGAGATAACAAACTATGCTCTTGAATGGGCGGACCCATCTCAGAGTTAAATAGAAGAGAAAGCAAGAAGTATTTATGGCAGTAAATTGATTGGCCTTGCATGTATTTATAATAGAGGAACTGCTACAAAGAGAGGACTCTATCTTACAGAGAGTCCTAGATAACAACCAAGAGATAACAAACAAGTTCTCATCTCAGTAGGATAACAATTATCCTTAACTAACTCCTAAGGATAATTGTTATCCTATGGATGGAGTCCTAGATGTACATGAGTGTAACAATGTAACAATTAAATATACTCTAATACGCCCCCTCAAACTCCATGCTCATCGCGAACATGGAGTTTGTCCCGTAAGAAGCAAAACTGATCACCGGCAAGTGACTTGGTGAGAATGTTAGTAACCTGATCTTTGGAAGAGATGAACCGCACGGTAAGCCGTTTGGTAAGAACAAGATCTCGGAGAAAGTGAAAATCAACCTCAACATGACGAGTCCAAGCACGAAACACAGGATTTGCCGCAAGGCAAGTGGCTCCGATGTTATCACACCAAATAGTAGGTATCTCAAAGAGATTGATACCAAGATCTCGAAGAAGAGAGGAAATCCACACCACTTCAGTAGTAGATGTATCACAAGCACGAAACTCAGACTCGGTGCTAAAACGTGCTACTGTGGTCTATTTGCGAGAGCTCCAGGCAATAAGATTAGGCCCTAAATAAATAGCAAATCCGCCAGTAGATCGTCGGTCATCCGGACAACCAGCCCAATCAGCATCTGAAAATGCATGAAGTGTAAGAGAAGTAGACGACAACCGAGAGATGTGTAGACCATGCATAATGGTGTGTTTGAGATAACGCAAGATGCGTTTTACAACTGCCCAATGAACTTCAGTAGGAGACTAGAAGAACTGAGAAACTTTGCTAACAACGAAGGAGATGTCTAGACGGGTGATAGCAACATACTCAAGGACGCCAACAATACTCCGATACTCAGTAGGATCGGGAAGAGGAGAGCCATCATGCCGAGTAAGCTTGGGGTGAATAGCCATAGGAGAGGAAATCAGTTTAGCAGCATCCATGTGAGAACGTTGTAGCATACCAGTAATGTACTGACGTTGACTGAGAAGTACCCCATTAGAATAACGAAGAAGTTGAACACCAAGGAAGAAAGCAATAGGGCCTAGATCCTTAAGAGAGAAATGACGAGAAAGCTCCTGAATGCAGTTATGAATAGCACTCTGGGAGTTCCCAATCAGTAAGGCATCATCCACATAGATAAGGAGATACAGAGTAACATGTTTAGAGCAAAACACAAACAAATAAGTATCAGCAGCAGACACTCGAAAACCCATCTATGCTGACTGATGAGTGAGTCGAGCATACCAAGCTTGTGGAGCCTGACGAAGTCCATAAAGGGCTTTGTGCAACTTGCACACATGGGCTGATTTGGTAGGATCCTCAAAACCCTTAGGTTGTCAAATGTAGATATCTTCACAAAGCATCCCATTCAAGAAAGCATTATCAAAGTCAATCTGATGTATACACCATCGGTTCATTACAACAAGAGAGAGTGGTGCGAATGGTTACAGGTTTGACAATCGGGCTAAAAGTAGTTGTAAAATCAACCCCTGGAATTTGAGTAAAACCCTGTGCAACCAAACACACCTTGTACCTATCAATGGTACCATATGCCTTCCATTTGATCTTATAGACCCACTTGCTCCCAACCACATTCATGTCAGAGGAATAGGGAACAAGACTCCAAGTACCATTAGAATCCAAGGCATTAAACTCCTTAGTCATGGCATCACGCTAATGAGCAGATTTGACTGCTTGGGAATACCGGGAGGGTTTCGAAGTGTCATCACCAGAATGAACTAATAAATACTATGGTAAGGGATACCTGGTAATGAGATGAGAACGAGGTGGGAGAGACCCATCCATCGAACGAGTAACCATAGGGTGCTGACGGGAAGGCTGAGAAGCAACCGGTACTGATGCAGCAAGGATATCCTGTATGCGACAAGTCCCACGGGGTCCGATCATAGGAGAGGTTGTCTCTAAAGAAGGAGCCGACGAGGTGCTGCTGTGAGGCAGGGATGGTGAATCTAAACCTCCCTGTAGCAGAGAGTCAAAAACTGAGGACTCTAGAGAAGCCGAAGAAGGATCTGGAGGTGACGGCAACGGCTGCAGATATACCCTAGTAGGAAAGACAAATGTAGTAGGAGTAATCGCAGAGTACACTGGGAACTTCTGTTCATCAAAGACAACATGTATAGAGATGTACTCCTTTCCAGTCGCAGGGTGCAGACAGCTATACCCCTTATGTTTGTTGTTGTAGCCAAGAAAAATGCATTATTGAGAAAAAAAATCAAACTTGTGGCGATTGTATGGCCAAAGCAGAGGGTAACAGGCACGACCAAAAATCTTGAGGAACCGGTAATCTGGAGGAGAGCCAAAAAGAACCTCATATGGAGATTTGTGCTGGAGAGTGGTAGTGGGAAGCCTATTAATCAAATAAACTGCTGTAAGGGCGGCATTGGCCCAGAAGGAGAAAGGGAGCGACGAGGAAACCAGAAGAGAAAGGGTTGCTTCAATGACATGGTGATGTTTCTGTTTAGCACACATGTTCTATTCATGTGTATGAGTGCAGGTGAGTCGATGAGTAATGCCAACAGAGTCCAGGTAAGAGGATAGTTTGCGATATTCTCCACCCTAGTCCGATTGCAGAGTCTTGATTTTCATTTCAAACAAATTTTCAACATGACGCTTAAAAGATAAAAATACATCAAAGACATCTGATTTCTGGTGCAACGGAAATAACCATGAAAATCTACTAAAAGCATCAATGAAAATTACACAGTATCAAAACCCTGCATTTGACAGAATTGGAGCTGGTCCCCATACATCTAAAAAAATTAAATGTAGTGGACGAGAAACAACTGAAGAGGATGAGGGGAGAGGCAACCTATGACTCTTACTGACTTGACATAACTCACAAGATAAATTAGAGCTGAAACTAAAATGACCTTCATAGGGGAGACCGAACTGGGTGACAACTTGCTTGACCACTCGCATTGCTGGATGCCCAAGATGTTTGTGCCAATCATCAACAGAGGCATTCTCACCAACTAATCCATAAGGCTGACTTGTATAAATCACCTCATGTGGAAACCGATACAACCCATCTCTACTAGTTCCTCGCATCAGGATGTTCCCCGTATAGTCCTTCACAACAAAATAATTACTGTGAAACTCAAAAAACAATTTGTTATCTCGAGCAAATTTTTGAACAGATAGCAGATTTTTGGAGAGCTCCGCATGAAAAACATTATTCAAAGAAAACTGGCGAGTAGCAGTATGTAAAATTGAAGAACCAACATTCTTGATTTCCAAACCTGAACCGTTACCAACTTTGACTTGATCCGACCCACCATATTCAGACCGAGTTTGCAGATTGTCGACATCTGGCGTCATGTGATTTGTTATGCTACTATCCGGGTATGAGGTTGGATCGAAGGAAGATTGAGACGAAGGAGTAGTATTGTTGTTGTAGGTTGCTGGTTCTGCTTCTTCGTTCTTGAAATTGAGATCACACCGCCAGCAACCTTTGATCACACCATGTCCCGATTTATTGCATAGCTGACAAACACTTGTATTACCACGCCCTCTGCCACCATTATTTGGGTGGTTATCTAAAGAACCACGCCTCCTGCCTCTTCTGCGGGTATTCCCAGAAGGAGAGTATTGAGTATTATTCTAATTTTTATTTTTAAAATTGGTCACATTAGCTGTAGGGGGTGAATCAACTGTGGTAGCATTCTGCTCTAGCCAGCCTTCATGGCCAAGAAGAATGCCTAAAATATCATCAATATCGAGGTCCTCTATGTTGGACCTATTAGTGATAGCAGTAACAATAAATTCATACTCTGACCCTAATCCAGCTAATATGTATAGAATTAAATCACTCATTTTTATTAGTTCAGCGACAACTGCAAGGCTATTAGCTATTGATTTAGCTTTTTTGACATATTCGGAAATAGACATAACTCCTTTTTCGAGACTCTAAAGCTGCCTTTTGTACTGCATTAACCTGGATCGTGAGTGATTTTTAAAAGATTTGGCTAAAGCATTCCAAACGTCACGGAATAAGCGATGTCCTACAACTTGGGCGAACACGTTCTCCGTGAGTGGCGCAATGATCCAGGAGAGAACCAGTTGATCTTTCTCAAACCATTTGATGTGTGTTGGATTGAGAATCATCCGGCCTCCGTCGGTCGGATCTGGTATATACTGAGGAGGTGCAACAATAGAACGATCTACGTACCCCATTAAACGATTAGTGTTGAGAACTGGTAGCAGCTACGCCTTCCAAAGCAGATAGTTGTCGTTGGTGAGCTTGATAGGGAGATAATGGATCCCACAATGGGGAACCGAATTTGAACCAGCCATACTGTTGGAAGTTGACACACCTAACAATTGCTAGGAGGCAGAACTGAAGCTACTGGAAGCCGTGGGATCGGCAATGCTCTGATACCAAGTTAAATAGAAGAGAAAACAAGAAGTATTTGGCACAATAAATTGGCCATTGCCCTTGCATGTATTTATAATGGAGGATGTGCTACTAAGATAGAGTCCTTGATAACAACAAAGAGATAACAAACAAGTTCTCATCTCAGTACGATAACAATTATCCTAACTCCTAAGGATAATTGTTATCCTATGGACGGAGTCCTAGATGTACATGAGTGTAGCAGTATAACAACTAGATATACTCTAATACTCATATGATACATTAATCCTTATTAGCCCTTACTAATTATAACTACCAAAATTATGTCATCAATCACCATTGAGCTCAAAATAGTTAGATTGAGTCAGCCAAGTAATGACTAGGGAAAGTGATTGTCTCATTTCAGTGCTCATCTCCATATATGCCTAGCCCCTTTGTTCCTTGATAATTGCTAATTGCATGTATTTTGTTTGATCCTTACTCTTTTTCTAAGAGGCTTGAGTTCTGCCAAAGTCTTCCTACCATAAGTTATCAGACATGGCTAATGGCAACTTGGTTTTCTAAGTATCTAGTTATTCAATTAAAACATTGCAGCTTGTCTTGCAATCAAGAACTATTCATTTTGGACCATCCACAATACATGTTAATCCATAATCATATAACAAAATTGGCGTTTCCTATATCGAGCAAAACGTGATTTTTGAGGCATTTATGTTTCTTTTGAGATTGGCTTCTATCAGGACAAAACTGTGCCCACACCGTTCTAACAGCCTTTTGCAACCTTGCATTGGGAATATCTCCCCGTGAAATAAAGCACACAATTATGGAGATATTCTCAATGCAAGGCAATAAAGGCTTCTCGAACGGGCTTTGCCCTGACTGAAGCCGAACTTGTTTCCTTTCTTTATGATGAGGGTAAAAGTAGGCCTTTAATAAAATTAAGACACGTGCCAGCTCCAATAGTCACATCCCCACCACAGATAATCAACGCTCACATTTGGCAACCAAGCACCCACTCTGTCTAAGTTACCAAGTCGGCAGTGGTGAAGCATGGCTCGATTTGCAAGTTGATGACCTGCATGAGTAAGAAAACACACCTCATCGAAATGAGTTACTCTAACAGAAGAACACCGAATCTCCACTATGTGTATGCGGAAAGGACCACCTAGTAGCGTTGTTCTCACACTTGCCTATCCTATCAGCTAGTGGGCCCTGGACTTCCCCCACGCATGGATAACGTGGCATATGAATCACTTAAATGTGTCCCACTTTATCTCTAGGTGCTCTACGTTAGTACTTAATTTTTGCTTGATCCCTTCACCCTACCACCTTAAACCCTTCTATTTTGAAAAAAAAAAAAAAACCAACTTGACACCTATCAAAATCCCCTTTTACATGAAACTCCACATTTATACATTGAATTTTATGACCACACGCTAAAGATATACCAATTTTCTCTTTGGCAGTCCCGATCTATATAACATTCAAACCTTGACTCTACAAAATCAAATCCAAAACATTCATTGCCCCAAGGATCCTAAGAGACATTTAACCCCCCCAAATCTCACCTCAAATCTACAATGGTCCTAAATGAATAGAGTTAGATCAACCAATTCCTTCTTAGATTTGAACCATCCACCCAATTCCTCATTTCAACCTATGCCCACACGCCAAATTTCAACTCAAAATTCCCTTATTTAATCGTCCAATTAACAAAGCTTCCAATTTAATGTTATGATTAAACCACACAAAAAAGTCATATCCCAAACCCAAAATCCTCAAAATAAACTACCCATCAGAATCATCCTTAAATCCTCCATTTCCTCCCAAAGCAAGCAA